TGTGAGCCCAGACACAGTGCCAGACACTGAATGTCACCAGGCTGCTCATCTCTAAGGAGTATCACGGTAAAGTTCAATCCACTCCTTACCCGATTATCCACTTTGCAGTAGGGATCACCGGAAAGCAATCAGGAGCAGAAACCATGGCTGAATTTTTCCCTTCAAGGGATAATGAGGGAAATTGTAGCAGCTCATCTGGTACACTGGCTGGAATCACTGAATTGAGAGCATCCTAGAGATCAAATCTGGTATCTTCCCAGTCTGTATGATTCAGTTTCATAGTCAGCATTAGCCTTACACAAGTCCTTTCTATACCTTGCGCAATTTCTTTGTAGTGTTATACCGCCCTGGCAAAGTTATCTTTTTAAAATTTAACAAAAAAATCATGTTATCACTTTTTCTAATTATAAATGAATATCAAAAGTGCATATTGAAGGAACTTTCATACATAAAAGTTGGCAAACTCTGTTGAATTATACATGCAAAACAGCTGTTTTTCACAATACATTTTTAAGCATATCTTGTATCTACCATCAATACAATTTTACCTTTAAAACCATAATAAATTATACATTAGCAGAACACATGCTTGAAATAACTATCACAAAACACTATTGTATTAAATTTACATTAACTTTTTGCTTTTAATCCATATTGCATCATTTGGTCAACGTACCTTACAGAATCACAAGAGTTTTCTCTCCATATCGTTCCCTAGAACTCCCTTTCCTTACTGAAAATATTGAATGCATAAATATTAAATGAAAAGGGAATCAAAAGCCTTGAATCTGGTGCTGGGAGTGCTTGATCAAAAAATTCCTCTTTGTTAGATCCCATCCATGTAACACAGACCAAACAATGACAAGCAGATGTTCAAGAAAAGCACAGGTTAATACATCCTTAAATTGTCCCTCTCTCCCACTATCTGAGGAAGTGCTTCCTGTCTAATCAGCACTTCCTCCAGACAGACTGAGTTCAGGATACTAATCATTTAGGATGTACAGTTGCACTGAAAATATTTAATATTAAGCACAGCAAATTCAGAGCCAGACATGATGATATAAACAGCAAAGAGGAAGAATAATTAAGCTAATATTGAATAACAATGGTGGGGACTTCACTTGAGTGACCTTTTATCAATGTGTCACAATAATGAGAATCAGCTACATCTGTTTGGTACATTTTGAAATAACTGCCTCAGATTGTACTGTAGAAAAATCTAGCTCTTTACTTGCAGATTTAATACTGATACTTTATTGGGATCCAAAATAGACTTGGATTTTTATTAGCTTTATGTTAAAGTAATACCATAGATTGCTTTATTGTTTATTAAATTATCCATATTTTCTACACTTAAAACTTTGAGAGAAAAAAACCTTTGAGAATTAGATTTTTTGTTTTATCCACAATCTCTATGCTAGGAGCCCTCATTGCTACAAAATCCTCATTTCTTTCAAGGGCAGAGTCAAGCCTATAGAAATGTTGACATTGACTCCCAACACCTCTCTTTGGTCAGCCTAATAGTAGGAATACTTGAGTGATATCAGAAACCATAGTCTACCAGGCAGTTTTTCTTCAGTCCCCTAAATAATAGTTGACTACCTAACTCACCTTTCTGAGGAAGATCACAGTTAGAACATCCAACAAGGCATTTTTAACAAAAGTCTCCAAGTTGAAAATCTAATATGGGATACCAAGTTAACAATTATCCAGTAATCAGTTCCCATTAAATGAAATTGCAAGCACCGTATTATAGAACAGCATAATTTTTAAAGGAGCTGTAGTCTCTAATTTGGCCCTAAACAACTCAAAGACAAATGGCTGTAATACGACACCAATTACATGCTTGGTAGTGACATTTTACTCGCTTTGCCAAGAGACAGTGATGCTGGGCCTCTGTGTGGGTGAACACTGTAGGCTGGAAAATGACTGTCAGTGTGAAAAACTGATTTTAAAGATTGGTGGCACAATATTATTCAATACCGCAGCAGTGGTGTGAAAGTATTGTATCCATTCTCAAAATGCTTAGAAAAAAGTTATATAGAGGATTATAGCATTTATAGAAGCATCAGAAAGCAGAGATATTCTGTGTATTTTCAATCTTGATTAATCAAGTTTTCAGTTACACACATCCTGCATATCAAGAAGATTTGAAATTGTTCAGAAAAAGAGATTTAAATTCTATTTATTTATGTTAATTTTCAATCTGCCATTTATCACCAAAAGCCAAGGTGAATAACAATTTAATTAACTTCCTTTTGGCCAACAATTACAGATCAGGTTTCTAAAATGTATGGACTGAAAGCCCTTCATTTCTCCTGAGCTTTGCTCTCTTCTCTAAGGCGATATTATTCCACTCAACAAAGCTACAGTTAATCATTCTCAAAGAATTTTCAATAGAGGTATGTGATGCATAACTTATTTCTTACACCTTGTGCTACAATTTATGCATCCAAGTCAAATGGAGTAAGATACCATTGATGCCAAGAAGATACACATCCGAAATGAGTAGAATCTCTACTAGCTACTGACCCTTTACAACGCTTAAATTCTGAGCCCTTTAGAGTTTTTGGAATATGAGTTGCATACTTTGATCTATAAAGCAGGAAAAATATTAAGATGCCCAATTGATTTTCATTTGGAAACTGCAGATGAGGATTTTCTCAGTGTCCTGGCCAACAATTCCCCAAATAAAATTGGTCATTAATTTCATGGTTGTTTGTGGTTTGTAAATTGGCTGCTGGGTTCACCTACAAATACACAGTCACTACACTTTACAGTAAATCTTGTGAAATGCTTTCAGACATCTTGATGATGTGATAAGGTGCTATATCAACTGCAAGGATGATTATTAAGAATAATAAAAGGGTTTTAGTTGCATTTTTTGAATGAATGTCATAGTATCATTAAATCACCAAATGTCTACTTTTTGGCACATAATCACTAAATCAGCAGACAAACATGATACCAAAAGTCTAGCAAATATATGGTCTTGCACGAGCAACAAAGCATAATGGCATGATAGCATGTTGGTTTGACTAGCTATTATACCCCTGAAAATACCCGATATTTATTGTGCCCTTAACAGTAATGAGGGAAAACTGGAAGGTGTTTAGATCAAAGTGGCATATGTATTTGTTTGGGAAAAAATACATATTTGTACACGAGAAGGCAGACACCAGGTCACACAAGATCCATATGTCTACCTACATGTTATAAAATGGGCTCAACAATTTTTATGAATATATTTTTCCAATCACCTATTAAAATGAAACACTCAAATTTAGCTTTATATAGTTAAAAAACGGAAAGTTAGAAAGTGAGGATCAATGGCTGTTATTGAAATTCATGCTTCATATGGGCAAAATATGTGGGTTGTCAGTTGTCAACTAGATGTCAAAAATGGAATGTTAGGTAAAGTGCAACATTTCATCTTGAACGGTGGAGAAAATAGATATCACTCAAACTGTGCTTCCTACTGGCTCAAGGTAATGAATTATCTTTGAGAGAACTAATGAAACACAAAATAGAAGGGAAAATTCCTAAATTCATTAAATGTAGTGACACTGAAATGTGTGCTATACCAAGCATTCTGCCTCGTTCGTACATTCTCTCGATGTCATTACATTTAGTAACAAAGGTTTTTTTNCTTCCTAATTTTTTTGTTCTGCAGATCAGAAATGAAATATATCAAAATCTGGGGTAGAATTTTCAAGATGAACCACTACAGAGAAAGAGACTTTTAAAATAGAGTAGAGTTGATAGCATGGTTTAAATTGAAGTCAGGATATTATAAAAGTCGAACTTCCCTTCCAATATTGACTGGCAGAGGTTAATACAACTCCTGTCTAAAAAATAATAGTTCTGGAGATGCTATAATGCTGGCTCACTAGTGTGACAAAAACAAAGTTTCTGGCAACTGGATTGTAACCAGTCTTCTTTATTTTACAGTTTCCAATCTAATTTGTGCATTTAGAATGGGGAGTTTTGGAACAGTACTGTGTAGCCTCATACATAGTTATTTTGCTGGTTGTTTTGCATATCTACTGCAAATAGGTACAGCTGCTATTAAGAGCATAGGGTAATGAGGATTTTACTTGTTTGATGTGATCTGGAACTTCCAACCCTGTGTGAAGAGTTACCTGTCAAACAAAATGCACATTAAAACATGATAGCACTAAATGTGAATAACAATTCCAATCAGGTGTTTAGGTTTACACGTAGCAATACTGTACAGTACATGGGCTGAGAAGTGACATGTGTTCAACATTTATAAGTAACATGATTAGATAGGGACAGGGAAATACAAGATTATGTTTCACTTACAGATCGACCAAGGAATAGCTCTTTTAAAAAAAAATCAACAATAAACACAAAGTACAACTTTATACCTATTGGGAGACACACAAGTTGCAGAATCACAGCAAAATGGGCATTTGGTTATTCAACCCTATGCTGATGGTAGCTCAACTATAGATAATTTCAATTCCCAGCAGTTCTTTACTACATTCTTTCTTGTCAAATGGTTATACAATTCCTTTGTTAGATGTTTTAATGTCCCAGCTTCCAATAGCCACTTGTGGCAAAGCCTTCTATGTTCTAATAGAGAATATTTCTTTAAAAAANTCCTCTTGATTCTTCCAGAAACAACATTTATCACATTGCTTCCAATTTACCAAGCAGCAAGCGTAATTGTCATTATTTATACTCTCAAATCCTTTCAGATTTAAGACTTTTAGTGGATTCCTTTAACCTTCTCTATTCCAAAGTCCATTGTCATATCTATAATCTCAATTCTGAGTCTTACACCATTATTATTCCATGCAATTGGACTGAAATATCTTGATCACAGGCAGCAAAAACAAATATAGTGGCACAAGACTCTTTTCTCTCCCCCTCCCCCACCTTCCCCATGTACTACTTCACATTTCTCAAATCCTTTGAAATATTTCAATGCATTTCAATGATGTTAACACGTCACCGTATCAAATACAGTAATTATTATTAGAATTGCTCAGTTTACCTGGACATTCCTATTGATGCTGACAGCTGGCACAAAAATTCCATCCAAATTTTCAAACGCTACAGGTCCATGTTGCACATCATTTATATAAAATGCAAGGGTGCGTTTGCTAAGATCCAGAAGAACTCCAACTGTTTTACCCTTTGAAATCCCACCTTCTGTCCTACAATCAGTAAAAAAAAGGATTTTATTTAAACCAGCATTTTCTAAAAGATTTCACACTACTCCGAAAAAGCTTCAGTTGCAAAATGTCTATTCTATTGGGAATTCTTGGAATCGCCTCCCTCCCTGTTGTATCAGACACTTCCTTTATGCGCTATACAAAATATAATGGTTAGAGCACTCGCCTTGCAAGCGAGAGACTTCGGTTCAATTCCCAGGCAGGGTAAAATGTTGGGCAAGTTTCTTTACTCCTCTGTTTACCTAGCAGTAAGTATGAACCCGGTTGTTAATCGATTGGCGGATTGCTTTTCCGGAGGTAATAATCACTTAAAAAAAGAAATCGGTCATTTCAATCCACGACTGTTTGTGGGACACTGCTGATCGTAATTGGTTGCCACGTTTCGTCCACAAAATACAGTGTATCCTGTGAAGCACTCTGATACGTCTTGAAGATGTGATAAGACACTATATCAAATGCAAGGATTATTATTATTATAGGGGTTATTATTATATCAAGCTGGCCTTTGTTACATTTTTAAAATAATTTTATCTCTTTTAGATTACTAAAGGTAACTTTTTCAATGTAGCGAAAAACAACTACAATCTTAAAAAAGCTGCTTATGAATTTCATGTATCGCCAGCCCCCCCAAATCATACAATTCTCTATACAAGTTACAAATCAAGTAAGTTTGAGTGAAGCAGGGTTCATTTTGGTCACTACCGTCACCTTACATGAAAACAATTCTTAAACTAAATCCCGGGATAAAGTACCGTTTTTATAGACTCCTTCACACTTTAATTGATCTGTTTAAATATTCTGATAGTATTAATCAGAAAGATCATTTACCACTTTTATATATTAACTTACAGTTACTAAACTATACTAGGGGAAAGGTTTTTCATCCTTTGCAAAATTGATGAATATCAAGGAAGATTTTGATCTTTAATATTTTGAAAATATTCCCAATAGATCACTTACCTGTTTGTGTGAGAATTGCCATGCATAAACCAACTACGGTTGTTATCAACATACATGGCCCAGGCCTTATCATCCTTTCCAAGCATCATATCTTTTATTAAATTAATCCTTGCCACTCCAAAAGCAGGGTCTGGGTGATTGTCATAGCGATCAATAGACAGTTCCCAGTAATGGACTCCTTTTGAGAATGCCACAGATCCAAGGACAACACGATCGTCATAACTATTGCACGTAACTGTAAGATTATCGTTAGACAATAGGATATCTGGATGGGCAGAATTGGCATCAAAGGTGAACCAAGCCACTGAAATGAAACAGCAAAACAGTGATTTAAAAATAATGATAGAAACAAATTCCATATAATAATTGCTTCATCTCTCTTTAGGAAAAAATGAGACAATGTGTACCTGAAATATTTAATACTGTTTTCTACATGTATTATAGATTCTTGTAAAATATTGATGTTATTTCCTAATTAAATCTGAACCAGAAAACAAAAAATAGAATGATAGCATATATTTGTATAGAATATACAGATCTTGCATTTAACCATATTCAAAGCCTTTCATCCAATCGGATTTGGCATATTGTGCTTTTGACTACTAGAATTAGATAATAATGAGAAGATATATAACATTGGCATTTTAACTCATCTGTTATTGTTTTAGTGTTAATTTAGTGCTATCACTGCCACTGTTGAAAGTCCCCTCAAAGCTCACTGAATTCAGTCTTAGACATTAAGAATGCCCACTTGGTTGTGTTGCCAGAGAGCCACCACCACCATTTGCGTGGAGTAAAAACACCAGAAGCTGCTATCTTCATTTGTGGAAGTTAACAGGAGAAGGCAGGGAAAATAAACTGGATTTAAAATTTAAAAGTTGAAAGAATATGAAATATTCAACGAGTGCAACTACGAAGAACTATGGAAAATGAGACATTTGAGTGAGTATACTGAGGAAATATACAACATATGATTAGCAATTACATTTTTGGTATTGTTACACCAGTAATATAAGTGAACCTGTTCCAAACATTAAAAGTCCTAATTTGTAATATGAGGAAATACCACATTGTCAGTTTTTCCTCCAATTTCCTCCAATTTAGCCAGTTATAAAGGCTTATGTTAAGGGTTTGCTCAGGAGTATAAACACATTTCATGCATCCAAAGATGTTTTAATGCTTAACATTAGGTAGAGGTGAAATCTGATAGCACAATTCTCTTGTGTATTAATGTGATTCTCAAGGGAATGGTATAGCATGGACTCACAGTAAAGAATCCCTATGTCCATGGATACAGAACTGGCTGAGAGACAGAAAGCAGAGAGTGGTGATGAACGGTTATTTTTCTGACTGGAGGGAAGTGGTGTCTCCCAGGGGGCAGTATTGGGACCACTGCTGTTTTTGTTCTGTATAAATGACGTGGACTTGGATATAGGGAGCACAATTTCCAAGTTTGCAAGTGATACTAAGTTGGGAAAAGTAGTAAACAGTGAGGAGGATAGTAACAGACTGCAAGAGGACGCAGACAGACTAGTAAAATGGGCAGACACGTGGCAGATGAAGTTTAGTGTGGAAAAATGTGAAGTGATGCATTTTGGGAGGAAGAAAGAGGTGGGGTAATATAAGCTGATGGTAGAATCTTAAAGGGGGTGAAGGAACAGAGAGACCTGGGCGTTCATATAAGTAAATCTTTGAAGGTAGCAGGACAGGTAGATAAAGCTGTTAACAAAACATATGGGATACTAAGTTTTATAAACAGGGTCATAGAATACACGTCAGGAAGTTATGATGAAAACCTTTATAAAACACTGGTTAGGTCTCAGCGAGAGTACTGTGTTCAGTTCTGGGCATCACACTTCAAGAAGGATGTCAAGGCATTGGAAGGGGGGCAAAGGAGATTTACTAGAATGGTACAAGGAAAAGGGACTTCAGTTATCAGGAGAGGCTGGAGAAGCTAGGATTATTCTCCTTGGAACAGAGAAGGTTAAGAGGAGGCTTAATAGAGGTTTTCAAAATTTTGAGGGGATTCGATAGGATGAACAAGGAGAAACTATTTCCACTGGTGGGTGAGTCGGTAGCCCGAGGACACCAATTTAAAATAGTTGTTAAAAGAAACAGAGGGTAGGTGAGGCGAAATTTTTTCACACACATTGCCTGAAAGGGTGATAGAAGCCGATTCAATAACAACTTTTAAGAGAGAAGTAGATAATTATTTGGGAAGGACAAGTTTGCAAGGCTATGGGAAGAGAGTGGGGAAGTGGGATTGATTTGGATAGCCCTTTTCAAAGAGCCAACACAGACACGATGGGCCGAATGGCCTCCTTCTGTGCTGTATAATACTATGATTCTATGTGGTAAATTACTGATCTCAGCTAGGTTGTAAAGAGGAAGTCTTTTCTCAAAGAGAAAGAAGGAAATTGGAGGATAAGCGCTCTTACATAAATCCCGCAGGTGGTTACATAGCAGCATTGGCAGAGACCTGGAAGCAGATCACCTTCCCACTCTATTGATCTACAATAAGAACAAGATTAGGCACTGGACAGTCAGTTTCAGCTGTGGGTCAGGATTGGGGAGGGTGGAAGGCAGGGGCGGTGAAGCAGGATGATCTAAAGCATGGTCGAAGAGGAGAGTCTTGAGATGGAACTGGAAGAAGGCAAGAGAGGAGGTGAGGCGGAGGGATTGCGGGGTAGAGTTCCAGAGTGTGGGCGCAGAGATGCTGAATGCCTGACCACCCGTGGTGGGCGGGAAATGTGGGGAACCTGAAGCAGGCTGTGTCCATTGAGCAGAAGGAGCGGAAGACATATTTGGGGTTAGGAGGTTGGAGAGGTAGGGGGGAACATGATCGTGGCGGGCTTTGAAGGTAAGAACGACAGTTTTGTACTCGATTGTAGAAATATATGGTGAAGAAAGGGCCAGATGGAAAAGGCAGAGAACAAAAAGAAAATTAATGTATGCAAATACAGAAATATGGGTTGAAAAATTGTGATTTCTAGAACGTCCACTTTCCTTCATCTCTGCAACATTGTACATCTTGATTACTACCTCATCTCACAGCTGAAATCCTCATCCATACCTTTGTCACAACCTGACACAACTTTTCCAATGATCTGCTTCCCCAGTTCTACCCTCCACAAGTTCAAGATCATCCAGAAGTTCAAAATCCGTCTCCTCCCCCATACTACACTGCGAGCCCATCAACCCCATCCTTGCCTGGATACATTTCGATATTTTGCCTTTAATACTGCACAAGAGTGAGGATAACGTGTGTCAGTGCCACATAATGTTAATGTACAATGATGTAGAAAACATCAGAAAGAGTGCTGAGACCTAAAAGATGCAGGGTGAAGGGAAAAAGATCCTATCAGCAGTTTTACCTGATCTAAACTCTTCGCTTAAATACTTGGGAGATGATAAAGCCAATTCAGATAGATCAAACATATTTGTACAAAACAATAATAATGAAATTTGTAATGTTAAGTTAGTATTGGCCAACCCTCACCCTCAGATGTCTGCAGCACAACTGTTTTACTGTAAGGTCCAACACCTGCTGAGTTAAAGGCTTTTACTCTGGCATTGTAGGCACTGTTGAACTGAAGTCCATCTACTGTGCACACAGTTTCTTTGCCAACATACACCTCCTGAAAGTCCAAGTATACTAAGTTAGTTAAAAATGTAGATGAATGATAAGCATCAACAGCACTTCCGATGTTTAGCTTCCCCGTTGCATAAATCGCATCAAATTGCGAATTAAAATCTTAGTATATTATTATTCAGGTGCTCAAATCAAAATATAACGTAGATTCAAATCATTTATGTCTTTTATCAGTGGGATTATATTTCTACTGCAAACGAACAGCAACAAGCAATTTCAGTCAAATGAGGCACAGTTAAAAAAATTAAGGATTATTTGACAAATTAACAAGGGTGAAACCTTGGGCAAATTTCCTTACTCCACACGCCTAATAATAATCCCTCATGAAAAATTAATAATAAATTGGTCACTTCAATCTTCGACTGTTTGTGGGACAATGCTGTGCGCAATCGACTGCCGTGTTTCGCCCACAAATATAGTCAATTCACTTTACAGTCTAGTCTGTGAAGCGCTTTGAGACGTCTAGAAGACGTGAAAAGCGCTATATCAAATGCAAGGATTATTATTATTATTATAAATTGCCTTTTGATCCACTCATTTCTCCTGACTCACTGGCATTTCTCTAGGTTGGTGTGTGGAGGGGGAAGTCTAGGCAAAAGAGCTGTTCCGTGGTCATCATCAATGCTGCTCTATATCAGCAACAGAAATAGTCTTTTGCAGAGGTTGGATACTTAACTGCTTCTGATCTTTCTCTCTTGGAGACAAATCATTTTAGCATTACAATACAAATTTACATTTATCCCAAGGCACTGAAACATTGTCCCAGATCAATAATAATAATAATCCTTTATTTGATATAGCGCCTTATCATATCCTTGAGACGTCTCAAAGCGCTGCACAGAATATATAGTGTAAAGTGAATTGACTGTATATTTTGTGAGCGACACAGTCACTGGGGATGGTCAAGTTTAAATATTAGTTGAGAGTAACATTAAGAATCAAGTTCTCCAGCATGTGGGACATCCTCCCGACTTGAAAGGTGCTATACAAATGTAATTTGTTGTTGTTAAGAACTCTATTATGAAGTTTATGGAAATACTTTGTCTATTCTTAAATTTTAATTGATATTAGATATTATGACAAATGTCAACAACCCCAATGCATAAGGACATCAACGTTGAGGTTTATAATAGGTTTTCTCTTTATATACAAAATACATTGTATGTAGAATAAAACAGATTGGAGTATGTTTAGAGCCTGTATTATTTTATACAACATATACATCTTGAGTTCATAGGGAAAGATTTATTCTGCTTTAAACAAGCTTGTTGCATTTTGTTTTATATGGGTGTCATAGTAGACGAAGACAGGTGGCAGCTTACCATGCCTTGAATTGAAATGAAAGTGGATTTACTTCACTGCATGTTACAGGGGATTAATTTATTGAATACACTGCAATCGGTTATAACAAATGATCAGGTGATTGAACAGAGTTAATGAAGATTAAGTTTACAATCTGGAAAAATTCCCGTGCAATAACAAGTATTTATAATTTACTCAATGTAGAAGTACAAATTATAGTCTTCTGAATTGCCCTCAATGACAATAGAAATGTACATTTTTTCATAAATAGTTTGAAGAACTCATGACACAATAATAGACCATTAATGAATTGAAAATCTGTAACATGAAATGGTATGCGCTCGTGGTAAAACTATACTTTATAAACACTGTATAAACTGAAATTATTACATTTTCATGCTTAAGACAGTAAATGATAAAATGTATATTATTATTAAAGCTCTACAATTTTTTTAAAAAAAGGCATTTGCACAAGTTGAACTTAGTTTAATGCCAAATCATAATAATCTAAACACTATCTTTTCTGCTGCAAAGATATGATTAAATAAAGTACAATAATACTTACTCGAAAAGGACCCCCACTTCCATCATCAAGTTCTAGGATGTAGCCTTCAATCGGAGTCTGGTTGAGTGGAGGCGGCTTCCATGCAAGTGTAGCATTGTTGTTATGAGTACAGCATTTTTCCAGTTGCAGTATAGGTACAGGTGGCACTGCAGAGGAAACTAAGGATAACTTAGTGAAAATCTGTCCTTACACAGCAGGATTAAACCCAATGAACCAAATAAACCTGGAAGACATATCTAATTTCAACAACATCCATACATTTTAGGAAGATTTCAGAGGCACAGGATTAAGCATTTAAAATTTTCAAACTAAAATTCTTTTTTTTGCCCTATAGCATTATATGTAACCTTAGCTGTTGTGAAGTGTCACTTACCTTTCATTTGAATAAAGTCCAGTTGATGAACTGATTGAAGTAACGGACCACTGTCAAGTGTCAGATCAAAGTCAGGATTTATTTTGGCCTCTAAAGCTCCTTTGACCCACTGTTCTTGAGACGTTTGTACACGCTTGATCAGAGCATCTGAAATCTAGAATTGTAAATCAGAATATGTTGCATTATAAGCTATTTCAGGTGATTCCTAAAGGCCTTAACAATAAATTTTACCAATCTAAACTTTGGGTTCATCAAAACAATTGTTTTCATCTTTAATAATAAGGATAATAATAACAATAATACTTGGGGCTTAAACTGATCCATGCAATGCAATTCCTCTTTCTTTTGTTACTTTTCAGCAACTTCATACAAATTCAAATCATCATTTAAATGCATTTTTTTACTGTTAATATAATGGCAGGAAAAGTACAAGCATATCATTCATCCCTACCAGCGTCAAGAGTTTGAAAATTTCTAGCTCAAAATGCTCTCAGGAACATGGGATACCAGAGTGGAATGTAGGCTCTAAAATTAAAATGATGAAATCGCAGATGGTACATGTTAATGAATCTATGGCTATAATCCTGTGCAACAGCCTTACAGACACATGGATTCAAACCATTTAAATCTAGCGCAACAACAACAAAATGGGTACATGGAGCAGGCCGGAGCCCGCTGAACGGAGGGAGCGGGCAGGTTGGTAGGGAGTCAGCAGGTCAGAGAGGTAGGAGGGGGCAAGGCCATAGATGGCCTTACAGGTGAGGACGACGAAAGTGTGATTCCACAGAACTACCCCTCCTGCTTTTGTAAAATAAATGTGTCTCTATTTCTAAATGTGAACTCATTTTATCATATAGTCTTTTATACAATGCTTTCACACATCAATAAACTAAAGAATAAAATGTTTCCTATCCCCTTATGATCTTTAAGTAGAAGTGACAACTTAATGTCATGTTGAATTAAACCTTCCTGCTGAACACTCTCATTTTTTAAAAATATTCAAGGAATGTCAACTTCACAAGGATTGTTGGATGCATTGGAGATGTTTACCTAAACAAATAAGAGTATCAAATACAATTGTTTATGCATGAAAAATGGGGTTGTTACTGAAATGGAAAGATGAAATAATGTATCCTAAAATAATTTTTGGATTCTCTGCATGGAACTCAAATAACTAGCAATGTAGATAAATAGCTGTCATTGGCAAATTCCTGACATTCTGTATTTTATTCAAATATTATTACTGTAAAGAGACTACAAATAATAAATCTGCACACTTGTTTTGTTACCTGTAGAAATCCGCTAGGATCATTCTCTTTCATGACTTCCAGACAATACTCCATGAGGCCTGTGGTCTGGCGGAGCTTCACTGTGCAGTGACTTATCTGGTCCCGAACAACCTGACAGCACAGAATGAACAATGTTTAGAATCTAACTCACTGCACCATGCACACCACAAGTGATGAATTAAGAAAAATAGAACAGCTCACAATCTGTTGTTAATGCAAAACGTATCTACACAGATATAGTAAGGTCTAATTTACAGTGTTTCTTAAAAGATATCTTAATGTTAAATGGGTAAATATTACAGTTCTAAAACATTTAATCTGCTAACGAATGTATTCAATTAAATTCTTGTAGTTTGCATTTCATAAGTACTGCACACTAAATCAATCAATAACATTGTAAATCTATACTTAATTATTAGCAATACGAAGATCCAAGATTCAACTTACTGACCTTTAATTTATTCTCACGTTCCTTTGTAACTCTGGTGAGCAACTTTGCTTTTTGACGATTTAATGCATCTACAAGTGCATCGCATTGTGCAACAAGACAGGCTTCAAACTCTACGCCATTTTCCTGCAAGGTTTACGGGAACAGTAGAACCATTATGAAGTTTGGAACATGCCTGCACTGAATAAATTGCTTGCTTTCTAACCCATTGATTGAAATTGATAAATATTTTAAATATTTAATATAAACATTCAGGTTGTTTTTCAAAATAGTGTTTTATTACAATTGGATTAAACAACTTAAAAAATAAAATCAGTCAAGATTTTTGTTAAAAACTGCTGAGGGAGCACAAGGATGTTGATCAACAAACAACATAGGCAGAAGCAAAACTATAAAAAATTTGAAAAATTCAGAGATTTACAAACCCTAAAATTATTTTCTACACAAAAATAACATACAAACTGGACCAACTACAATGATTAAACAATGATTAAAACAAAATAAAACAAAAGCTGGAGACTCACTGGGGTGCAAATCATGGCATTCACAAGGTACTGTCAATATTCAATGCTGCCAATAACTAGACATGTGTCATGCCCACCCATGGGAATTCCACTCTGTTGTGGCCAGAAATAGACTACATTGGAGCAGAGTTCCTGCAAGATGGTGCGGAGCAAAGCCTGACAAAGGCAGTTTTCAATATTTACAAATCCTTTATGAATCTGGTTGTAAATGGCATGTTTTATAACTTCGCTCACAAACATAAATGTTCTAAAAACTGAAAATGTTATTCCTAGCTGAGGAAAAATGGATTCCTGCTCTAACATGTGTGGTTAGTTTTTCTACTATATGGGAGCCAACAATGGTCAGCAATAGTGTCACACTAGTGTGCATAGCATCACATCAAATCAGATTCTGCTCACTGTTAGCCATACACTATCTGAAAAGAAACAGCAGTTTTTAAGTCATCAGACTCCAATCTGAGTCAGGTTTATGTGGGCAACTGATCCATTGACATGAATCAACAATAACAACAACTTGGATTTATAGAGAGCCCTCTACCTCGGACGGCGTCTCAGAGTGCTTTATAGTTTAGGATCCCGGGACCGAGCCAGAGGGAGGAAGGTGACCAAAGGCGCAGTCAAAAAGAAAGGTCTTCAGCAGAGACCTGAAAATGGGAAGGGAGGGAGCGAGACGAAGGGAGTGAGGAAGGCAGTTCCAGAGCCTCTGGACATAGTGGCTGAAGGCACGGCCACCGAGGATGGAGCGAAGGACTCGGGGGATAAGGAGGAGGCCAGACCCGGAGGAATAAAAGCAACGGGTACTGTGCCGAGGAGAGAGGAGGTCAGAGAGGTAGGGGGGTGCAGAGGAGTGCAGGGACTTGAATACGAGGGTGAGGATCTTGAAATCCATCCTCTCTGGGATAGGGAGCCAGTGCAGTCTGGCAAGGACTGGGGTGATCGGGGAGAGGAGTTTTGTGCGGAGTTTCAAATCTTAAGGCATATTCTTACCACAAATATCTAGTCTCAAAAATAAATCTAGCATAGATAGACATATGTCAACATAGAACTTTCTTACCTGAATTTGCTGTACCATATTTTTCAGTTGCACCAAAAATTCTTTGGCCTCCTTTGCTTTGTCAGACACTCCATTTAATGCTAGCGATAGTTCAGCCTACAATTTAAAAAGCAAATGTTTTTGTTAAGTAAACTCATTACCACTGGTCAAAAGCTTCACTGATCACATCACCTTCAAGGCGTATTTAAACAATTTAGGATTTTTTGCAATTATGGAATAGTGAATCTATGCTTTTGCAGATTAGTGTCAGATAATGTTTGAAATCGGGGAATATAAAGTACATCAACGCAAATGGAAGAACAGGGACAGGGGAATTCATCTCCTTTGTTGATGTCAAAACTAAGACATTATCAAGCAATCTCCCACATTATAGTACTACTTAATATGATCAAATATAAATTAACATGTAAGATACAAAATTAAAATAGATATAACATGAATAAATTTCACTGCAAAGTGTGAACTATATACCTGCTGAAGTTCATTGTTAAGTACAATTCCTACATTGCTTTCCTCAAGAAGACTAAGCTCTAATCTAGCCACATTTTCTTCATCAAAATAGCCTTTTTCAACTTGATATTTTAAGGTGACATCATTGCTGCCTTTACAAAACAGTGCACACATGAACATCCATTCCTTATAGCTGTGAAGGTTAGAATGGTTTATCAAAAGCACATCAAGGTGAAGCCTCGGGAAAATTCACACAATGTTTTTGTTATTTTCCTCAAATAGCAAGATATCTTATTATTATTATATTTTGTTGAATGCAGAACATAATAAAATGCATTTTTGAGGACTTGCTGAATGGCAGGAGAAGTGGTGAAATTATCAACCAACAAATTCCCCAAGACTGAGCTTGACTCTCAGCTGAAAGAAGGAAGAAAAATACTTTCCATCTGTGACATATACATGCATCCCTTAGAGGAAGTCATCTCGATTGCAATTGAATGGACTGTCACAGACATGTTAGCAAATAACAACAGAGGGAACAATAAGGAAACGTTTACGTCCAGTGCTGGAGGGATCCTCAAACAATGTCTGTCAGCTTGGCTCAGTGGTAGCACTCTTGCCTCCGAGTCAGAAGGTTATGTGAATTCCAAGTCAAGAGCTGAACTCACATAAGTGTAAGCTGACACACCAATGTATTGCACATAAAGCTATGCTTTGAATGAGACATAAAACCAAGGTCCCACCTGCCTGTTCAGTTGGGCATTAAATATCCCACAGCAATATTTAAAAAGTGAAGGGATTTCTCCCAGTGTCCTGGCCAACAAATCCCCAAATAAAAAACAATTTCACAGTGATTCCAGTGAAGCGCTGTGAGACTTTCTTCCGATGTGATAAGGTGGTATACTAAATGCAAGGATTATTATTAATTATTATTATAATACAATATTCTGCATATATAAAATGCATGTAACTAATGTCAGCAGACAATTTGCTTTCCTGTCTCTTTAGCTTTAGAAGGTTGGCCTGTGGAACTCTCCAATACCTCCACAAATTTATTCGGCTAGGAGTTGACCCATACAGATTGGGAAATTGTTAAATTCAATCTTAACCAGAGATTGGCCGCTGGGAGGGAGCATAAGATTAGGAAGTGGATAACAAACCAAACGTTTTCACACCTATTTGTTATCTATTGACTTCTCTTGGAAGCATGCTTATGCGACTACTGGCTAAATAAAGGAATGGTTTAGCTGCAATCTTGATTTCAAAATAGCATGTCAACGCAGTTGAATAATGACCTTTTCAGAAAAGTGAGGCACCTTCAGGAGAAAAGGGGAGGAAAAAATATACAAATGATCGGCCATACTTGCTCTACATTTTAAGGTTTGAATGCCTACTTTGTTATAAATATTAAAATTGTGATTTAAAAATAGCCATCAAATGCTCACGTGATCATTTATTTTTCCTAAAGTCTGATAATAATTTAAGCACATGAACATTTCAGGAAAGCAAATAACACAAAATATATTAAACATAATGGATAATTATTTTCCAAATACAGTATTCCACTACAAAAGGCACTTAATTACTGGACACTATGTAACAATTTACAGTCTACAGCCTAATGGCTCTACAGATTGATGATATGCATGGTTACATGAGTACTTGTAAGCACTCTGCCAGGATATTCCCTGGAGACTTTGAAGGCTTACTAATGGAATGTGTGTTAAGAAGTCAATAAAATGCATAACTAAAGACTTTTGTTTCATTAAGCTTATTGCTACAATAATTAAAATGAGACACGAACAGCTGATACTCATGGAGTAAAGGCTTCCTCTGGATTCCGTCAATTATTTATTGACTGCCACAGCCTCACTGGGTACTGTCCGTCCTGTACTTAACCTCAAAGTTTCTGGTCCATAATATTCTGAATGTCAATCCACCTTAGAAATGAAGGTCTTTTATGTAATGGGTCACTATTTCTACTCATTTTCATTTCGCAAACCTGTCTTCCTCCTCCAACACGTTTCTCTACATATTGTGAAAAGCACTATATCAAATGCAAGGATTATTATGTATTATTTTACCCTTTTCTTACATCTCTCCTTACATAACATATTTACCCATATTTCCTTTTTTTTGTTTTTTAAACCTGGTGATTCTATATCGGTTCATTATAGTCTGGATGAGGGTACATAAGGCATACTAACAACAATAACAAAATGTAATTTGTAAAGCGCCTTTCATGTCGGGAGGATGTCCCAAGGCGCTGGACAGTCAGTGTTTCAGCCCTGAGCTCGGGGTCGGGATTGGAGAGGATGGAGAGCGGGGGAGGCGGGGGGGAAAGGAGGGTGATCGAAAGCACGGTCGAAGAGGAGGGTCTTGAGATGGGTCTTGAAGGAGGCAAGGGAGGGGGCGAGGCGGAGGGACTGCGGGATGGAGTTCCAGAAGGTGGGGGTAGAGTGGCAGAAGACCCCCCTGCCAATGGTGGGGCGAGTGAGGCGGGGGATGTGAAGCAGGCTGGAGCCGCTGAGTGGAGGGAGCGGGCAGGAGGGTATGGGATTAGGAGGTCGCAGAGGTAGGGGGGAGCAAGACCATGGAGGGTTTTGAAGGTGAGGACCAGGATCTTGAACTGTGAACTCCTTCTGAGTGATGGGAAGCCGGTGGAGTCGGGCGAGGGTGATAGGGTCACCGAGCCTGGTTCCAACATAGTTTTTTAACACAATGTTAAAGGATTACCATGAGTGATTTAAAATCATATGCTGTAATGTTACCACCCAGAAATAGGCCATTCAACTCATCAAGTCTGTATTGGTGTTTTTCTCCACTTGAGCCAATCTAATTTCATTTTACTACTTTAATCCAACAATCTAATCCCAATTTCTTGATCATTCCCCAAAGCCTTTAATATTTCTCCTCTTCAAGCATCTAAATTCCCTTTCAAAAGATATTATGGGCTCTGCTTAATCTACATTTTTTGACAGAGAATGCCACATTCCAAAAATTCTGTGTAAAGAAATGATTTTGTAACCTCTAGTTCTTTTGGTAAATAACTCTTTTCTTTAATGGCTTGACAATCATATATAGTGAACGTGAGTTACAAGATGGTTATTGAGAGTTTATATATACCAGCCAATTGGCACCAAAATATCCCAAACAATGAGATAAGCAGATAAATTAATTTGAATTTGGAGATAAATTCGGTTCAAAGGCAAAATAGGATAATTTGGGGAAACGAACAGCAGGGTAGTCCACACTTTACGTCCACTTGAATCACAGGCATACATTAATAACCCAATCAAAAAATGGGATGATAATTTGGAAATTAATAACAAAATTGTACATAATATAGAATATTGTTACATAAGCAAATGCTTAAAAATTAACTTCTCATCTTTACATATCCTGAACTTTTAAATTCCACATGATAATAAGGGAAGTTTCAGTCAAATCAAGTGTGAATACAGATATCAAAATTAATGTTACTGCCATTCAAAAACATATTTGATGCCAGTCACAAATACTGCCCAAGCAGGAGCAATAATATTAAGAAATGTAAACGCCATTACCTCACCCCTCAGGCTGCTGAAACCCTGGTTCACGCCTTTGTCACCTCAAGGCTGGACTATGGGAACTCTCTCCTCGCCGGCCTTCCCGCCACCTCCCTCCACAAGCTGCAGGTCATCCAGAACTCTGCAGTTCGTGTACTGTCCCGCACCAGGCTTCGGGACCACATCACTCCCTCCCTCGCTCGCCTCCACTGGCTCCCCATCCCCCAGAGGATTGATTTCAAGATCCTCATTCTCACCTACAAGGCCATTCACGGCCTTGCTCCCTCCTACCTCTCCGACCTACTATCCCCCTACCTACCTGCCCGTACCCTCCGTTCCTCCGGCTCCGGTCTGCTCCACGTCCCCCGCCCCAATCGCCCTACCATTGGTGGTCGGGCCTTCAGCCTCTCAGCCCCGAGGCTCTGGAACTCTATCCCCCAGTGCCTTCGCCGCCTCCTCCTTTTCCTCCTTCAAGGCCGGTCTCCAAACCTTTCTCTTTGACCGAGCCTTCACCTCCCCTCTCGACTCTCTTCCCCCTTCTCGCTCCCTCCCATCCCTCCCCTCACCCTGACCATTTCCCCCCTCCTCGCTCTCTCCCCTCCCCTGACCATTTCCCCCCTGCTCGGGTCATGACCCAACTGTGCAGCGCCTTGGGACGTCCTCCTGACGTGAAAGGCGCTTTATAAATGGAATCTTGTTGTTGTTGTAAACACTCTTTGTCCTTGTGAAAGCCTATATAGAAGACTGAATTACCTACATTTATTTAATACAGTGTTTAATGTACTGATTTTTTAAATATGGAAAATAATTTGAGTTTTAGAGCTAAACCCACCAGGAAATATGTCTTCACACATAGAGTTGGAGGAATGTGGAGAAAGGGTGGGAAGTAAGACTAAAAGATCTGCCATACTCTAATAAAAGGCAGAAAAGGCTCGGCAGCTAAATGACACTTTCTGTTCCCTTATGTTCTGTTCGTATGACAAGGGTGCTAGGGGCTCTTTCAGAATTGCCAATGAAATACACAGTTAATACATTTTACAGTAAAATGCTATCAAGCACTTCAAGACATCCTCTTCGACCATACCATCGGCCACCCACCTTCCCCTCCCCTCTCCCCCCCGACCCCTGCTCGAGTCTGAAATGCTGTACACTGGGACGTCCTCCCGACGTGAAAGGCACTATACAAATGTAATCTTGTTGTTGTTGTTGATGATGTGAAAGGCACTGTATCAAATGCAAGGATTATCATTGTATCTTTATTCTGTCAGTATTCAGAAAACCAGCATATATCTCGGAAAAATCCTGCTGGATTGATTAGTCCTAGGTCTGATTCTGTCAACAATTGTGCATCTTTTTCTTCAGGCAAAGTGGCACATTTCCTATGATTGTGTTTAAATGTGTGCTACGCAGGTAGCCAATAATGTACCAATGAAATCACAACAATTTTACTAGTAAGGATAATGATGGGGTGCCTGCTATGAATAAAATTTGCCTTAGTAGATCTGTTGCTAAGCAATTCCCATCTGAGCTGAACTACGCAAATGTATATTGGTTTCTTCTCCATGAGTCAAATCACCTAGTCTCGTGATCAGGGAATACAAGGTTCAGACTCTTTCCAAAATGGTTCCATCTGAAAATGGACAGCAGAGTGTTCTTGGGATAGGTGTGTAAACTAGGTCAGTTGAGGGTTAATGTACTCAGTAGAATTTATCTTCCTTTGCCGTTATTGACAGCTGCTTTGGTATCAAAATTTAAATCGCCTTGATGCTCAAAAACAGCACTGAAACTAATCCCAAAAATCAATATCCTCAGCCTTTGGGAGATTCAGACCAGTGTCTGTACCTATGGGGTGGTGACATCTGTAGTCAAAATCACCATGTTTAAGATCAAGGCAACCCTGGCATTTACTATCAAAGGGCCTGGATCGTTGTCAGAAGGTCATTTTAAGAATGGTTGAATTTCTTTCTCTCTTCCTTTTATCATGGCATTATTCAGATTCCCTAATAATAAAATAATATTATAGTAATAATCCTAGCATTTGACATACCACCTTTCATGTTGGGCGGACACCTCAAAGTGCTTCACAAGATTTACTGTAAACTATATGATTGTGTATTTTGTAAGAGAACCCTCAATTGCAAAGAAATCTTGTACATTTCTTAGAAAACCATTGTGGGCGTTCAGAAAGGATTGTTGTTTTTATACCTCCTGGGGCTGGCAAGCCTACTTGTACGGAGAATGCTGAAATGAAGTAAAATGGTCATCCTTAGTTAGCTTGCTTCATTCAAGGTTGAATACTTGAGATCCACATGTAAAGTGCACTGAGGCTGATCCCCAGTGTTACAGGGATCAAATGTGAGAAATGATTAGACAGGGTGAGTTTGAAAGAACAAGAGGGACCTTGATGTACAGATATTCAGGTCATTAAAGGTGATTGCACAGGTAGAGAAAAGGTAAAGAAAACTTGGTTTTATATCCAAAGGCAAAGTATTCAAAAAGAGGATAATATTGAATTTGTCCAAAACCTTAATTAAGGAAGAGTTGAATAATACATATAGTTTTGTACATCCCATTAATGTAAATATACATAAACAATGGGAAAATCACAGCATAGATCCATTAGGATGTTACAAGGGGTGAATGGTTTTAGTTGTGAAGTGAAATGAGAAATGATGCCTTTGGATGAGCTGAGAAGGTACAATGTAATTTCATAAAGGTCTAAACGATCACGAAGAATTATGATAACAAGTAATAGATAAAATGCACTGGGAATAAATCAGTAACGAGATGACACATATAGTGTTAAAAAAAAGAAATAAAAGGAAAACTAGAAAGCTAAATTCTTTAAATTCTTTACCCAGTGGGAGGTTGGAATGCGCCATCAAACGTTGTTCAAGCAGAATCTAAAATATATTTTAAAAGGGAATTTGATAAATGCTTGACGGGGGGGAATATTAAAGGGTATATGAAAAGCAACAGGAATGTAGGATTGGGTGTTCCGTGGTTAAAAGGAACAGGGCCGTTTCTGGGCAATAGCGTTTCATGAAATGGACCAAAATACGTTCTTGGTGGAAGCATCCCTTGTGATCTTGTCGGTGGATACTACTACTAATAATAATCCTTGCATTTGATATAGCGCTTTTCACGTCGGGAGGACGTCCCACAGCGCTTCACAGAACACACTGTAAAGTGAATTGACTGTACATTTGTGGGCGAACGCGGCAGCCAATTGCGCGCAGCAGCAGCGTCCCCGCAAACAGTCGTGGATTGAAAATGACCAATTTCTTATGGTTTGGTTTTTTTTGGAGGGGTTATTATTAGGCTCCGTGTGGAGTAAGGAAACTTGCCCAAGGTTTCGCCCTGACCTGCCTGGAATTGCGAGGGAATGGGGGAATGGCAGCCTACCTTGTGCTGCTTCCACATGGCTCCCAGCGCCTTCACTTCGTGCTTGGCGTGCTTGCCTTCTTCCAGACACTGGTAGCACACCGGGGCTTTGCAGTTGGCGCAGTACATGCTGTGGTTCTCCAGGTCGTGCTCGGTGCAGGTGGCGAGTTTGCGGGCGATCAGCTGCTTCCTGGTGACTCGGCCCTGGACCGGCGGGATGAGCCGGTGTTTGGCCAGCGGCCCGCGGGCCGGGTGGCACCTCTGCTGGCACGGCTCGCAGTAAAACACATCGCACTGCTCGCACATGACGGTGGCCTCGACCGGGCTGCGCTCGCACAGCTGGCACTTGGTGGCCACGGCCCGGTTCTGCTGGTAGCGGCTGACGATGGCTTCCAGCAGGCGGTTCTTGGTGAAGCTGCGGAGCCCCCGCTCCTCGAGCAGCGCGCTGCGGTGGCACTGCGGGCAGGTCAGGCACGAATTGCGGTGGACCGGGGCGGGCGGGAAGACCCGGACCCCGTTCGGCGACTTCTGGCTCGGCGTGACCGGGGCAAAGCTGGTGTAGGAGCCGTAGCCGCTGTCCGCCTCGCTGTACAGGCTCATCTTGTCCAGGTCCAGGTAGTCGTAGTCGGAGGCGGAGGCGGAGGCTCGGCTCTGCGGGGACTCGGCCTCGGGGGTCTGCACAATGATGTTGCGCGCACAGGGCAGGCACACATTGTGCGAGCAGGGCAGGATGATGGGGTCTCGGAAGAAAGAGCCGCAAACGGGGCATTTCAGCTCTTCCTCCATGTCGGCCATGCAAGCGCTCGCCCGGCTGTCCGTCGCGGCGGCGGTGGAGGTGGGGGTTGGAGGGGCTGGTGGTGGGGGGGGGGGGGGGTGGGGGGGAGAACGAGGAGGGGAATCAGCTTCAACCGACGGCGGCGCGAGAGCTCGCGCTGGGCAACCGTCAACCGCCGAGCAGCACCAGCCGAGGGACAGCGCCGCGGACGCCACTGCGCAGGCGTACCCCCTGCCCACTCGCCACACCGCGCACGCGCGCCGTCCGCCGCACGCCCCGAGGATTTGCCTCCAACCGTTCGACGGCGCCATCTTTGCTTCTCTCTCTTTCTCTCTCTCTTTCTCTCCCTCACCCACCCACCCAAATAAATAAATAAAACACACCAGGAGGAGGATTGCGGTGACTGCCGCGCCCCAGCACCACGGATTTGGAGAAGTCGGGCAGAAAGTGAAAATGAAAGGGTGAATAGGATGAGTTTTTTTTTAAAAAAATCAGCGCAGCGGCTGGCGGGCCGAGGGCGACCCGAGCCCCTCAACACTTAGTCGCTTCGCTGAAGGTGTCGAGCGGTTGCCCAGGAAAGCCGCTTTCGTGAAGCGCTCTGTGGTTCCTCACACTTACCCTTGACTTCTTGCAAGTTCCGCACCACTAAACGTGTCAGCTATAGTATACCCGGAGCTGCCAGTTCCAGGACAGTAGCTCGTGTCTGAAGTACCTGCGGCTCCGAGCTGTCGTGTGCAGAGAGGACTTTATTTTACCTCCTGTCTTATTTGTGCACCGCCGTACGCTTGGATAGTTAACAGCTTTATATAGAACAGGGAAAAAAAATCAGACTTTAAAGCTTTGCATCCCATTTTTGCCGCATTTTTGTCCTGCTGACAACCCATTAGCTCGCTCCCCGAGCCCCTGCTATTCACTAGTTTGCTACTTGCATCTGTCTGTCTGACTACCCTGGGAAACACTGATGGTATACTTTAAATTGCCAAAAATATTTATTTCATATCAAGAGAACAGAAATTATACACAACTGAATTTATAATTAGAATAATAGATTTGGCATTTCAACCATGAGTACACAAACATTTCAGCACACTAGAAAAGGAAACCCATACAAAGCTTATTGAAGATATATAACATAGGTGAATCAAACCCAAGACTACCAAGATATTGGTGCCACAAATCAATTTATTGAGCCCCTTTTCCAATCAGTTGCTAATAATTTATTATACAGTGCATCTTAGTGACAACATTTTCTTACAGTATTTACATGAACAAGACTTGTCATCAATCTTTCCAATGAAGGCAGCAGAGTTTTGTATCATTTGGACCTTGTTTATAGTGAAGCTGGGGACACTGATTTGGTGCTTCAAGTGATTTGAAGGTAGGCAGAGAGGGGGCAAGACAGATTGATTGAGACAAGGCGTTCCAGAGATTTGGGGCATAGTGATGAAAGCATGGCCACCAGTGGTGGAGTGGAGAGATCAAGGGACATGCCAGCCGAGGGAAAGCGACGGATAGCGGAGTGTGAGCAGATTGGAAAGGTCGGGAGGTGCCAGGGTGTGAAGTGATTTGAAAGTAACAGGGAGCTAATGGAGCCTGACAAGAACTTGGGTGATGGGGGAAGGGACCAGATGTGGGGAAGTAAGGATAACTGAAGATGAAACCTAATGCAACGTTTGAGTACAGGTTCGGTGAATCTGAGGAATAGGCTAGGAAGGCAAACAACAACAAGATTCCATTTATAGAGCGCCTTTCACGTCGGGAGGACGTCCCAAGGCGCTGCACAGTTGGGTCAGGACCTGAGCAGGGGGGAAATGGTCAGGGTGCGGGAAGGGAGGGAGTGAGGAGGGGGTAGAGAGTCGAGAGGGGAGCTGAAGGCTCGGTCAAAAAGAAAGGTCTTGAGACTGGCCTTGAAGGAGGAAAGGGAGGAGGCGGCGAAGGCACTGGGGGATAGAGTTCCAGAGCCGCACTGGGGGATAGAGTTCCAGAGCCTGGGGGCTGAGGCTGAAGGCCCGGCCACCGATGGTAGGGCGGTTGGGGCGGGGGATGTGGAGCAGACCGGAGCCAGAGGAACGGAGGGTACGGGCAGGTAGGTAGGGGGATAGTAGGTCAGAGAGGTAGGAGGGAGCGAGGCCGTGAATGGCCTTGTAGGTGAGGATGAGGATCTTGAATTCGATCCTCTGGGGGATGGGAAGCCAGTGGAGGCGAGCGAGGGTGGGAGTGATGTGGTCGTGAAGCCTCGTGCGGGACAGTACATGAACTGCAGAGTTCTGAATGACCTGCAGCTTGTGGAGGGAAGTTCACAAGTTCACAATCATAGGTGAGGAGATGTTGATAATAATAATAATCCTTGCATTTGATATAGCGATTTTCACGTCTTCTAGACATCTCAAAACGCTTCACCGAATGTGCTGTAAAGTTAATTGACCATATACTTGTGGGTGAAACTCGGCAGCCAATTGCGCACAGCAGTGTCCCACAAACAGTTGTGGATTGAAAATGACAAATTTATTATTTTTTGTTGTTTTGGAGAGATTATTGTTAGGCATGTGGAGCAAGGAAACTTGCCCAAGGTAATGATGGGAGCCAAGGAGGAGGTTTCTGTCTTGTCCATTTTCACAGTTACACCAAATAAATCAACAGCACTCCTAACCATCCATTCTTTACAAGACAGCATTGTACAATGATACAGGATCTCTAAAATAGTTTACAATGATGGTACTTATCTACGCAGTACTTCTCCCTTCAGTACTTGAGATTATCAAATGAACAGTACTTACCGAACATTACTTCATGCTGACGGAACACAACTTGCATCGTATACATCAGTCCTGCTTTCTCTGACCACCACTTCATATCAAGAATATTTCTGATTCGCAGTCCTACTCCCATAGCATTTCACATTAGCAGAACCTGACATTTTATTTTTTCCTGGCTGTTAGCTGAATGAATTAGCAATGATGTTCTGTGTATGTGCACAAGGTATAACTCAGGTTATGAAGTTTTACTGATGCCTTGTATAAAATGATCCATTCTTTAAAGCTTTAACTACTCTGGTGGAGGCAGAGAAAGTGGAAATATTTGAGGCAAAAATAGAGTGAAAGAAAGACCACCTACTTGTGTGAATGGAGCGATGGATCAATGGATGAATGTCTACATTCAGGAAAAAGTAAAGGGTTGTTAGTGTGAAAGTAAAAGTTCTGAAGCTTTTGGACTAATCGGTTATAGAGTTTAGAAATGGACTGATCTATGATGTTTATTTTGCTGGAATAACCGAGAGTTCTATCTATTGTAACAACAAGATTACGTCGGTAGGACATCCTAAGGCGCTGGACAGTGTACAGCATTTCAGACTCGAGCTGGGATCAAGGGATATGGGGCAAAGGCAAGTAATTGGAGTTGAGGTACTATTCAGTTATGATCTAATAGAATGACGGAACAGGCTTGAGGGGCTGAATGGCTTCCCCTGTTCCTATATTTATATATATATTGTAAGTGAATTCTCTGAGTATTGAGGTCATTTATTTTGGCTAAATATTTACAATTTAACTTTGTAATTTTTATTATTATTTAAGGAATAATACACTAATTCTTGTAAACATTAGATTCCTCCATTAAAAATCTGCCAAAAATACTAAAATAACCAGGAGAAAAACAATAACTTGCATTTATATAGCACTGGATAGAATCACGGAGATCTGCACAATGGCAGAATAGGGGAGGTGACCGTAGACGCAGTCAAAGAAGTCGATTGTCAAGTGGGATTTAAAGATAGATAAACAGGGTGGGAGGCGGACAGATTGAGATGGGGCAAAAGTGTAGTGGCTGAAGGCAAGGCCACCAATGGTGGTACCCAGAGGTTGGGTGATGCACAACAAGTCTGTATTAGCTGAGCAAAGGGAATGGGCAGAGGAATGGGGTACAAGCAGGTCAAAGTGGTAGGTACGTGCTAGGGTGTGAAGGCATTTGTTTGTGAAGGTGGGGATCTTGAAGTCGGTCCTCTAGGATATGGGGATCCAATTGCACCTAGCAAGAAGTAGATTATTTCTCCTACTAACATGTCAGAACTGATGTGTAAAATGTGTGGGTGGAACAAAAGCAGCGGCACTTTCCCATCCACCTACAAGCTGATCTCATTTTTCAGGTTGAATGCAGAGAAGCAACAGATAACATAATAATAATCATTGCATTTGGTATTGTGCCTTTCACTTCAGGAGGTCATACCAAAGGACTTCACAGGATATATTATAAAGTGAAGTAACTGTGTTTTGTAGGCAAACGTAGGAGGTGGAAATCAATGAGCAAGGAGGTCACTAGCGCTGTTTAATAATAAAACAACTTAAAAGTGTTCTCTGGATAGCTGATGGCAGAGAAAGATGAAATTACATCTTTCATCTGTTGCAGTAAAGAGCAACAACATATTTATATAGCACTCTTCACACAGGAGAGCACTACGGAGTGTCCACGGTGGGTTGGTTGGACATTGAGCAAGGGAGAAGAGGGTGGAGTCGAAGAATTAGGTCTTAAAATGGGATTTAAAGATAAAGAGGGGGTAATTCAGAGTCAGTTCCAGATGTTAGTGAAGTAGTAGCTGAAGGTATGGGCACTGATGGTGGAGTGGAGGGTTCGAGGGACCCGAGACAGACCAGTATTAGCTGAGTGAAGGAGGCGGGCAGAAGAGTGGAGTACAGGCAGGTCAGAGTGGGAGATGCCAGAACATGAATTTATATGTAACTTTCATTTAAAATTTTATATGTAACTTTCATTTAAATTTTACTAACATAACATGAATAAAAATACATATTGCTCCTTTAATTTAATTTTATTTCATTGGGACGACCTCCCGACGTGAAAGGCGCTATACAAATGTAATCTTGTTGTTGTTGTTAATTGACAATAAGATTTTTTAAATACTTCGTCTATTTATTTCGAATTATTATTCTAGATGTTATTTGAATAATGGAACATGGAAAAAATTGCACTTTAAGTGGTACCTAAAACTTGATTTATGTACTCTACTAATTCATTTATTGCAGTATAAATCTTTACTGAAAAATGTGTTAACATAAAGCTCTATCATAAAATAAACATGGGCAATTTGCCTCATCCAGCCTCCTCCACAGTCATTTAATAGTCATGGAGTTTCTATTTTTAATCCCGTGTTTTTTTTATATTCACGTATAAAGCTCTACTGGAAACGTGTTAATAACATACAAGCACTTGATCATAAAAATTGATTTAGACAATTTTGCTCTTCTAGTTAGCTTACAATATATAGTCACTATATGCTATAATAAATCCCGCGGAGCTCTTTTTGTTGTTTCAATAATATGATAAGGCATTATATCAAAAGCAAGGAGTATTATTATGTTTCTTATTTCCTTTCTTTCCAAGTACCTATGAATCTTTCTTAAAATCCTCATTTTTTTCATATAAAGCCGTTTGAGGGGAAGTTATTTTACAGTGACCAAAAAGTTGTGATATCTACCCTATTATCAAGAAAACATTTCTTTAAGACTTAATAGACATTATAATAATAATAATAATAATAATCCTTGCATTTGATATAGCGCTTTTCACGTCGGAGACGTCCCCTGTATATTGTGGCGAACGCGGCAGCCAATTGCGCACAGCAATGTCCCACAAACAGTCGTAGATTGAAAATGACCAATTTATTATTGTTTTTTTTTGTTTTTTTGGAGGGATTATTATTAGGCGTGTGGAGTAAGGAAACTTGCCCAAGGTTTCGCCCTGCCTGGAATTGAACTCAGGTCTCTCACTTGCAAAGCGAGTGCTCTAACCACTGAGCTACAGGACTCCAATGAATGTTAGTTCACATTTTCAATAAAATGTGCAAATGCAAACCGAATTGTTTTCTTAACTCAAGATACTTTTACAATACACAAAATATTAATATGTGAGTGTACTTGCTTTTTAATACAATAGATGTATTAATTTTCAGAACAAATGGAAGGATGACATTGGACTGCTGTGCAACTCCACTACTCCTTCTATATCAGCACTGATTGAAATACATTCTTATCATTAGAACATATTACTCTGGCTCCTGGGATTTTTCTGATTTTTGTGAGATTCTTAAAAGCATTCTAGTAATAAGAGTATGTAAGAGATTCGGATGGAAACGACCGAGGTTTATTAAGTAATACAAATAGTTTAATTTATTCTTAAAACTGAGACCATAGATACAGTAGAATCAATATTGATTCCACTGGGAAGTGCATTAACCCTTTACACAACTCCAACTATTTCAAAGTTACACCTTTTGTGCGTTTCTAACTCCATCTCCCCTCGTCACAGAGATAGCCCCCACCCTTCGCAGGCTGCTTTGCACAGAGAGAGATATGGACAACTTCTGGGCAGCCTCCTACAGCCTACTTGCTTCTTAGCCTTGAGATAGACAGGTGTCTGAAGCTGCAGCCTTTCCATTCTGTGGTCCATTATTCTTACATCTATGCTCAAGGACCCGATTGCTCCAGAACTATGCAGCCCGTGTCCTCTCCCGTACCAAACTCTGTGACCCCATCTCCCCCATTCTCGCCCGACTCTATTGGCTCCCTATCCTTCAGAGGATCCAGTTCAAGATCCTGGTCCTCACCTACAAAGCCCTCCATGGCCTCTCCCCACCCTACCTCTGTGACCTCCTAACCCCCTACCAACCCGCCCGCTCCCTCCCTTCAGCCAGCTCTGGCCTGCTCCACGTCCCCCGACCCACTCCACCCCCCTTCCTCTCCCCTCCCTTCTCCCCCCTTGACTCCAGCTCGAGTCTGAAATGCTGTATACTGTCCAGCATCTTGGGATGTCCTCCCGACGTGAAAGGCGCTATACAAATGTAATCTTGTTGTTGTTGTTGTTGCTCATTATCTCAGAGGAGAGAACATCTTCCCAGGAAAACATGGAATGTAATCAGAAGCTAACCTTGACTGGTCCAGCAAAGCTAATTTTAACCCCTGCTAAGCTACTCATTAAATCAAACCAACCTTATTAAAGGATTATGGGTAGATTTCATTCTAAACGTATATAACGATTAATTAAAAGCCGTAAAAAAAATTAAACATCACAAATATAGTTTTACAATATAGTATACAGTAAACTCCTGATAACTCAACTCTGGCTTAACTTATCACTACCATTACGTCATCATGCTGTCAATATTCCAGCTGCATTTATGTATTTATAAAAATGTCTAACACGCCACTCTGGATAACTCAACACTGAACCCTTTTTCCTTGGAGTAATGAATTATCAGGAGGTAACTGTGTTACTGTTACCATCAATTTGCTTTTTTCTCTTGATTCAACCATTTCAATATAAACCACTTCTTTTAATCAACGTCTATTGTCCCACAGTATTGTTTTAGTAACAATTTGTATTTATTGACTTACTTTACTCAGTTAAAAGTGTGAATTTATCCTTTGTCCTTGAAGTTTAATCCTTTTTAGTTTCCAAACTTTTTTGAATTACCAATTGATGGAGAAATGAATACATGTTTGAAGACAAATCATAAAATAATGTGCAACATAGACCAGGAAATTAGGATCAAGGTATACAGTTGACCTGGATTTGATTCCTGGCAGGGCAAAACTTTGGGCATGTTTCCTTACTCCACACACCTGTTTAACTAGCAGTAAGTAGGAACCCGGTTGTTAGTCGATTGGCGGATCGCTTTTCCGTGGGTGATAATTCCTTCAAAATAATATATAAATTGGTCACTCAATGCACGACTATTTGTGGGACACTGCTGTGCGCAATTGGCAGTGGCGTTTTTGCCCACAACATAGTCGGTTCGCTTTACGGGATAATCTGAAGTGGTTTGAGACGTCTCAAAGATGTGATAAGGTGCTCTTTCAAATGCAGTGATTATTATTATTACGATTTCATCTGTGAAGCAAACCTCAGTGTAGGCGAGATGTGTCAAATATCCTTCTTTGTTCTGTAATTACCAGAGAATTTATGAGCCATTAAATATGATCCAAAATACCATTGTTCTTTGGTTTAATACCATCATTTGTTTATTCTCGGCAGCTAAAACACAGATGCATTCATTTTTGATGAGTACACAATGTTAGCCATTGTTTCCTTAGAAATTCTGTTTCCTTCCTCTGCTTGAATTGTGAAGTCAGGAAGAGATAAGCATTAAGCCAGGATGCTGGTAGTTGTAGGAACTGAAACCTAAGCTGTTCAGGTTTCTAGTTTTTGCCATTGTACCCACAATCTAAAGCCTACAGTGCCAACTGAGGCACAAACAACCATTTGCAAAGGCGTCTCTCACAGTTGACAACATCGTGAAATGTCAAGAACGAGACGTGGGTCTCACTCTAATTTAATCATAAAACGTTATTTTCAAGAATGACTCACGTCTGAATAAAGCCACAGCCTTCAGAATAATTGCCTACATTTCAGGTCAACAATGTGAGTTGTGTGCACCTGCAAGAGAGCAAACATCCTTGGTGGGGATTGTTGCTAATAAACCTTGCAATTTAATGTCGCCACTTTCACAATAGGCGGATGTCTCAACCCACTTCACTGCAGTCAGTATAAAGTATAAAGTGCAGTGACCGGTTTGTAGGCGAGAGCAGCGAATTTGCACCCAGCAGCTTCCCTCTAACGGCTCTCGTTAAGTAAATCAACCATGTTTTTGTGAGTGTTGGTCAGGATCACCGCGAAGAATTCCCTTCTCCTCGAATATTTACTTTTTTAAAAAAAATGAAACATGAGCGAATTAAAAAAAATGCGCTGGTTTGGGACAACGTGTTTCACGTTCAATGTGAACCCGTAACCGAACCGCCGCTACACTCCGCTCCGCTCCCCCCGAGCGAGCAGTCAGTCACCAGACGGGACGCTTGAGTGTCGCCGCGGGACGTGACGTAGCACCCGATTGGGTGACTCGACGTGATTGACACGGCGGCTCGCCTCACACCAGTGGCACCTTGGGAAGGCGCGGAGCCAATCAGGGCAGCGGGGAGGCGGCACATCCGGTGAAACGTGTTGCGGTCGGGAGAGTATTTTGGTAACTGGAGACAGCGCGCGGTTGTCAGTTGGGGCTGAGAAGCGGAGGCCGTTATCGAGTGGGGTTTGGATGGTGCTGGACGGCAGCCGGGAGGGAGGAGCCGGGAACAGCGAGAGGAGGATGTGAGCTCCGCTCAGTCCCCCCAAGAACACACGAGCGAGAAACCAGGACCCGCCTCGGGAAGCGCCCGCTATGGCCGGGAAGCCGGCGAATGGTGGCTCCGTGCCCAACACGGCGTGCCTGGAGGGTCTGCCGCCTCTGCCCAAGAGCCTGAGCGGTTTGCTGAACTCCAGCGGCGGCTCCTGGCGAGAGATGGAGCGCATGTACGCCAAGAGGAGCATGATCCAGGACGACCTGAGCCGGGCCCGCACCAGCACCCGGCACAGCGCGCAGCCCAGCAAACCGGCCAACCTGGACGCCGCTTTAGCCCTACTCCGGAAAGAGATGGTGAGCGTAGGGGGGACTCGGGAGAAAAGGGGTGGTGGGTGTGGCCGTGCGACCCCGGAGTCTGGGTGTGTTGGGGGGGGAGGAGGAGGAGGAGGGGGTGGACACCACCACCAGGAGCCAAAGGCGTTGAAGCTGAGCGTCTCGCCGGGGAGACATGACCCGTCCGACTTGGGAGAGAGTGAAGCCCGGCCTCCTGCTCCTGGGTGTGGGGGTGTGTGTGGGTGTGGGGTGGAGGACACGGGATATTATAGTGAGAAGGTGTCCAGAGCCGCAGACCCCCGGTCCTCCTCTAACGCCCGGAATATTAAACGCGCATTAAATTAAGGGCACACAATCCCAGGCTGATGTGTTCTGGACGCGACTTCCCACCGAGAGAGAGGACCGACCCTCCCTCTCCTGTGGGATTGGGCCCCCGAGACATTTATTTCCAGGAGTCGGGTCAAAAAAATCCGGATCCATTCACAAAGGAGGCACCTCCAGTGAGTGATTAATAGATTGAGAAGTGCTGGAGTGAGTGGATCACAACTCCTGTGCATATAATAATTTCAGGTACGAGTCGGTTATTCATGCAATAGCAACTGTTCCAGTTCATCCATCTTACAATCCAATTTACCACCATTTTTTTCAGTGCATCTATCTACATCAAACAACCCTGAATCATTTGGGTTGACAGGAACTTGCCTTCCTAGTTCCTCTTTCCAAGTCCTTTGTAGTTCATTGCTCTGTGATATCTTATTCCATCACTTCCATCGCTTCATACTTAAACTGCCGAATTTCATATTCTCTTGGCCTTTATGAAGGTATGTGCCTAAATCTTGTGTGTGGCAGAAATAAATATCCTAATCATAAATTTTCATCATCTAGAATTCCTGGGTCTTATCCGTCTTAAGAAAAGATAAATCCCAGGAAATCCCCACTCCTTAAATTTTGAAATTGATCTTGTGAAGTGATAACACAGCAGTGCCTGTTGTAACGTGCTTCTTTGGATCCCAAAAAATTACACTGTGTTAAGACATACCGACTATTAAAATGGCTTCAGGGTCATTGGATTGCTGCTGCTTGGCTTCTGGCTGGTCAGTCATGGTTCCTCTTGCAAGCATTTTTAGCTTTTCCCATGTCGTTTTGTTGTTTACCTTGATAAACTGACATGCCTACATCAGAGTCCAAAATTGTCTCAGAGCTAGACATGACTCTCAATCCAGAACCGTTGATTTGCTTCTTCAATTGTTCACAATCCTAATCCGGCACAAACTCTGGGCACCCACCTGTTCTGTAAAGTGTGAAGTGGAGCTGGAGCACGACACCTTTCATCACATTTCCAAATTATCTGCAGGAAGCGACTAGGATGAAAATAATTATTACCAATGAAGTGCAATATTAATCTTTAATCTATATTTGATATCACGTATGTACATTTCATTTGTATTATCTGCCTTTTGTGGTACTGACAAATTAGGGAAAGGTATACAAGCACTTAAAACAACAGTATGTTGGCTTTTTTGTATGAAATACTGAAAGTATAAATCAGTATGTAATTTGTGAACATTTTGATTTGCATAAGTAAGTGTATTTTTGTATCTTTAGGAAAATGAATAGTCATTTGGTTTGGAACTGTTAAGCAACAGTGTCTTCAACAGATTCCACATAGTTTTGTGGCATTGGTGGTCATCATGGCTCAGTTGGAAGTATTCTTGCCTCTGGATCAGAAAGTTGTGCGCTCAAGCCTCTTATCGAATGTTCCGTTGTCAGGTGCCGCTCTTCAGACGGGACTTTAAACTGAGATTTCTGGCTGTTCTTCAAGTGGATGTAAACAACCACAAATTAAATTTGTATAGTGCCTTTTACGTCAGAAGGATCTCAGGGATTTGGACCTGAGCAGGGGGATGGAGGGTAAGGAGAGTAGGAGGGTGGCCGAAGATGCGGTTGAAGAGGAGGATCTTGAGACATGCCTTGCAGGAGAAAGCAAGGCAAAGGGAATACGAGTTTGAATTCCAACAAGGGGGGCAGAGCGGCTGAAGGCCCGATCGTCGATGGTGAGGCGGACCGGACGGGGGACGTGGAGCAGGCTGCAGATTGGAGGGAGCAGACAAGTGTGTGAAGGGCCTTGAAGGCGAGGATGAGGATTTTGAATTCTGTTCTCTGGGGGATGGGGTGCCAGTGGAGGCTGGCAGGGAAGAGGACACGAGCTGCAAAGTTCTGGATGATCTGCATCTTGTAAAGGGAAGGGTGACCAGCAGGGAGGTGGGGTAATCGAGTCCGGCGCTATATAAATCCAAGTTGTTGTTGATGTGATAAATGCGTGGATGAGTGTTCTGGCACCTGACGGGAGAGGTAGTGGCGGAGCCGGGCAATGTGCGGTGGTGGGGGGAGGCAGAGCGGGTCATGGCACAGGTGTAAAGATCGCTTAATTAAAAAAACAGAATGGTGTCATGGATGACCTTCCTCCAGATAAACTGGTCATTCATTGTGGGATTTTTCCGTTTGCAAAATGGCCACCATATTTGCCTTCCAAAAATAATCTCCCATGATGGTTATTACTGTGAAGATCTTTTAAGAAATTTTGATGTTGTAAATCCTCTAAAATTTCATTAATTTAGGATTGTAACCACCTCAACATATCAACTTAATTCCTTGTGCATTTTACATACTGGTATTATCCAAGCATTTACGCTTCATTATGAATTGCATTTGGCTCCAGCTGCTCTGTATTGTAATTCATGAATGGATGCAAATCATTACCACTGAAGTAATAAAAGTTCCTTTTTTTTTAAAATGTAGGTTGGCCTTCGCCAGCTAGATATGTCTTTGCTGTGTCAGCTGTGGTCTCTCTATGAGTCTATTCAGGAATATAAAGGAACCTGCCAGGACTTGTCAGCTGCAGCGAATTCTGATTGCGCCTATGGAATGGAAAATGGCTACTTTGATGAAGAAGAAGAATATTTCCAGGAACAAACCATTGTAAAAAATGGGAAGGATGATGTAGAAGTCAATCTTGCAGTGCCTAAAACTCAAAATTCTAGAGACCAGTGGATGCAGGATTCTTTTCATATCACCATCTAGCCAAGGATGAGTAGCTTTGACCTTCACACTGTACTTGTACATTATATTGTACTTTATTCTGAAATGTATCTGAGTGAGTCAGGATCAGAATTGTTAAAGTTCAATAGCAGGTTTTACTGAAGCCTAAACAGCTAGAAGCAAATGCTGCTAAAGTACCTCTCAAGCTGAGTCTTCTATAGCTTTAAAATTAACGCGGTACTTTTTTGACGAACTTGATACTTTAACAGATTATATACACTTTTTGGAAATAGCAAATGTTTTGCATTAAATTTCTTCTTGGAGAATCGAAGGCAGACATTGACTTTCTTTTGTTACTGGATCATGGACGCTATTTCTGGAGGTTGGAACTGCTGTGCTGGAATATGTTACTCAATATTCATAACCAAAAAAGCAGCTTTAACCTTTATCCTGCTGAGTAAGTTAGAACTCTTTAGATTGAATATAATAAACACTGTGCTTATTGGTTTAAGGGCTGAGGATTTTTCAATAAGATTTTGTAAATTTAGCCTTCAGTAAATTGACTCATCATATGTTTTGGTGTGAAATGTGTATCAAAAGGAGTGAAAAGCTTGTCTTATCTTGCTGCATGTGCACTTCGTATACGCTGACCATAAATGCTGTTGTTAATAATCTGGTAGCCCGTGCCAGACTGTTTTACCTTCCTGTGCTGTGAAGCAATTCCTAAGAAATACAAATTGAAAGCCTACTAAATACTGTAGAACACTGAATGTGTCTGCCTAGACAAATGAAGGTCAATATAACAAATATTGTAGGTTTGTATATCCTCATGATAGCCACACTTCCATTTCAACTGTTACTTTCATGGCAGATTCTATGTTGTACAAGATCTGATGATCCCACATATGTATGCTTACAAAATGCAAATAGTAGTATAGAGGTGTGGCAATTGAAAATATATCAATATCTCTGGAAATTGGTAAGATTAGAGTGATAACCGAGAAATCTACTGATCAGAACCATTATTAATAAATGCATCATTGATTGAAAATGTTTCTTCAGCTAGTATCAAGTAATTTGAGCACAGTTGGATTGAGATAAATGTAGGCTTAATATAGAAGCTGGATGACTCATTTATTCACCTTAGCAATGTTTATTGCAGTATAAACTATATCAACGTGACCCTCACCAGTATTTTAACCAAGTTCCATAAACTATATTCAACATTCTACTTGAACTTTTGGTAGAAATGTTCTCCTCAATTATATGTAGCACTCTTATTGTTATGAATTGTATTTATTTTTTTCATGGCATAATTTTAAAACTCTACTTCTGCTGGGCTATTGTTATTTTAAAAAAAGTATATGGACTCTTATCATTTTATGCAGCCAAGCAGAGGGGATGTGAGCTTCCTTAAGGAGTTGGATGCTTTTATAATTTTTTTTTATTCTACACAAAGTTAACTGTGCAAACAACACTATTTTAAGCAATTATGATTGTATAACTTCTATGATGACTATACAATTTCTTTAATTTCATATTTTATAACTGATTTTTATGCAGGGTTTTATGGTGCTGAACGGTCGATACGTCTATTTTTAAATCTTTGAATCTATTTCTAATTTATAAAAAAAAGTGCTGAATTCTAATTCAATAGTTGTATTTAAATATTTTTGTCACCTTTTCCAGATAATGATGCTGTTTAATATCTCTTCACATACCTTGCACATCCTATGGCTATATCTGATATTTCAGGGCACCATTGGGTGTCAAACTAGGGAAGCTGAAACTGCAGGTGGTGCATTCAGATATTCTGTCATTCAAATGCTTTAAAATCTTGTTAAACACTTCCTTATGCACTGACCGTAGCCTCAAAGTGTGTCACTGGTCTTGCTAATTCACTCTGATTTTGTTTATTCCATTGAATGGATGTCTGCTAATCACACCAACTATAAACTAGTTGATTTTATTATTCATGGCATAAGTTTAACCATAATGTAACAGAACTAATAATGATTTATAGGTTTCTTATTTATACTGTGTGATAAAATTGCAAATTCAATGAGTCTTCCTGTTTACCAGAATTTTCCATTTTGTCCTTGTGCTGACAAATGTGCTTGAATAAAAATGGTTTTCTTGGCAATGGAGGCAATCATGATGTATTTGCTTAATTTGTCTATCTGTGTATTGCAAAGTTTTAGCCTTTTGAAACCTTAGCTTCACACTGTTAGATTACATGCCCAAGTACCAAACCTGGAAATTAAAAGTGCATAAAGCTTTCTAGCTTGTTGCAAGATGGCAGGACTCCAAGCTGCACATGCACTTCTGTAATTTGTAAGAAGAGAATTTATGCAAGGGAATCGTGGTTAAGACTGGGACATGTATTGTAACTTGCTAGGGAGAAGCAAACCAAAGGTAGACATAACCTGAATGGCGTCAAATTGAGGGAGATATGGAGGGGGTGGCCCAAGTCTTTGTGCTGAGACCACTCCTGTTTCTTGTATTCATAAATGACCTGATTTTACTGTTGATTCAAGAAAGTTAAATTTGCATATGATACCAATCTAGGGTGACCTGAAATCAGAGGATGCAGTCAAGATCTTACAAAGAGGTTATACAGATAATTAGATATGTATTTTGGGTGAAAGGCTAAAACAAGTGTGAGGAAGAAAAGTATTTTCTGACAAAAATGCCCCAATAAATCCTCTGTTAACAAAACCACACCAATATAAACTGCAATGCTACTACTAAAGAAGGAAAAGTCCTGTTCAGAGAGGTTTTCCAGGGAATTTCTGATGCACAACATTTTTTCTGAATCCCCCCCCACCCCATGCTACTGGTAAGTTACCTGCCATCTAGCAAGTTACATGCCCAGTGCCTACCTAGGAAGAGTCAGGGCATGTTATAGGTTCAGGCATCAAAACTGATATTTCCCAAAACTTGGAATAAATTCAACACTGTTGAGAACACACATAATAATTGATAGCAGTTACAACAATATCCAAGTATTTGTCAGGAGCTTCTTATTATAGGAAGCTTCCCTAATGATGTTGTGCACATTAACATGTCCTTGGGTTTTTCCTGCAGTGTACTGACCTTAAGCTCCACTGAAACCACCTCATTTTTATTTAAAGAGCTACTGGCCAGATATAAACACAAAACAATGAGATGAAGGTCAAGGGCATATTTCTGGAAAAAACTTCTTCAAAAACCTACAACACCAAAAAAATTACATTTATAGAGTGCCTTTCATGTCAGAAGGACATCCCAAAGCGCGGAAAAGTCAGATGTTGTGGCTCAAGCACAGGGGTGTAGGGGTGAGGGAAGGCAGAGAGGTGGTAGAGAGACCAAAGGCATGTTCAAAGAGAAGGGTCTTGAGACTGGCTTTGAAGGAGGTAAGGGAGGAAGCGAGGCGAAGGGACCGTGGGATGGAGTTCCAGAGTGGGGGAGGGGGGTAGAGAGGCTGAAAGCCCGGCCACCGATGGTAGGTTGGGTCGGGCGGGAGATATGGAGCAGGCCAGAGCCTGATGAACGGAGGGAGCGGGCAGGTTGGTAAGGAGTCAGCAGGTCAGAGAGGGCAAGGCCATGGATGGCCTTAAAGGTGAGGACGAGGATCTTGAACTCGGTCCTCTGGGGGATGTGGAGCCAGTGGAGTCCTAGCAGAAGTAAGTTGGCTTATTTCATGGGAATGTCTACAGTTTATTTGTTTATGCCTTCAACAGAGGATACGACAATGGTATTCAACACAATCAAATATTTCACAGATAAGCATCAACAGAGGGAAGTATCATATTCATCATTCAGATTATATTACACATTCACCATATGGATTCAGTTTTTAATACTGTTGGGTTGAGTTAAAAGTTTTATTTTGAACATGAGTGCAACCTATAAAGAACTAGGATATTTTAATCAGATTAACCTATCACCCAATAATGTTAATAATTGAGAATTATTAATGAAAATGAATAATTTTGCTGAAAATGCATTCATGTAAGTCATGTACTTTCAAGTAAAAGTGATCCCCTTTGATTGACAACTACCATAATCCCTTTTTAATAATCCCTCAAAAAAAATTGGTCACTCAATCCACGACTGTTTGTGGGACTCTTCTGTGTGCAATTGGCTGCTGCATTTCGCCCACAAAATATCAATTCACTTTACAGTATATTCTGTGAAGCGCTTTTGAGACATCTCAAAGATGTGATAAGGTGCTATATCAAATGCAAGGATTATTATTTAATATTACCAGTTTGTAGTTGTATTACCATTTAGAAACCTTAACTATTCAACATAGGTAAATAACATGTGTTTAACATGTCAGAATTCTTGGAACCTCAGATCCATGGCAAGTACATCATTAGATTTGTCTCTTGCTTGCGAAAAAAAACGTGTACGTTGGGTTTGTTTGATTTTGTGTTTTTTTAAACAAGATAAGTACATATTGGGGCAAGCAAGTTATCACGCAAAATGCAAAATACTGCACATGCTGGACATCTGAACCAAAAACAGAAGTCACTGGGAACACTCAGCAGGTCAAGCAGATTTGATGGAGAAAGGAAACGAGTCAACATATCGGGTCTATGACCCTTCATCAGAACGCAAGCTTTTTAACAATGCCCGAAGGCGTTAGACCTGTCCTGTGAGCACCACACGACCAATTAAATGGATCGCAGCAAATCCCTTGAAATTACTATGGGATGAAATCACTCAATCGGGACAAGCTGAGCAACTGCATTTGCTACAATGCAAAATTGCCATATTAAGACATTTAAAGGAAGGGATTGCAGGAGACAGCTGGCATTTATTCAAAGCTCCTTTTTCAAATGACAGCTGGTTGCTAATTATTCCTTATGTTTGTCCAGGCAGTGTTTTCTAAATTTGTCCCAACAATTTCAACTCAGCAAACGTTTAGTGAAGGTCCTTGAATAATCAATAAAATAATCAAACCGCTTTTCGGAATGGACAGAAAATGGCAATTTTGCATCGCAGGAAAATGCATTTGTTCAGCATCTCCTGATTGAGGGTATTTCATCACATACCAATTTCAAGCTATTGCTTAATCACCAATTTAATTGGTGCTGTGCAGAAGTCGGGAGTCGGAGTCAGGTTAAATGCAGCATTGTGAGGTTGCCAACATTAGGTTTTGCATGGTAGCAGACATTAAAGATGTGGCAGTGGGATTGACATTTTATTCATTATTGTGGTAAAACATATCAGATCTGTCACCTATTGTGACCACCCCCTCCACCACCACCTAATAAACAGGCATTTTGGTAATTAAAAAATCTTTTTAAAAAATCTATTTATAGGTTTCAAAATGGTTTTAGTACCTTATGTCTAATTTATTGTGTATTTCGGATCTGTGAGCCACAGGAGATTAGATGTAGGAGGAGGTGGTGGGCAATGTGGCCTGAACAGGCAAGGGAGTGAGATCGTAGAACTCAGGGATGGTAAGGTTGTGATGGCCAAGGAACTTAAAGTCAAACTACTAGAAGTAGAAGGTAGAAATAGAAATTAAAATAGGAATACAGTAGAAGAAAGATGGAATAATAAAGGAAGAGTGGAAACAGATGAGCATAAGGTCATGGAGTCCCATAGTTTAGTGGTTAGAGAACTTGCAAGCGAGAGGACCTGGGTTCAATTCCCAGACAAAGCGAAACGTTAGGCAAGTTTTCTTACTTCACATGCCTCTTTACCTAGTAGTAAGTAGGAACCCGGTTGTTAGTTGATTGGCGGATCGCTTTTCTGCGGTTAATTATCCCTTCAAAAAATAATAATTTGGTCACTCAATCCACGACTGTTTGTGGGATGCTGCTGTGTGCAATTGGTTGCTGTATTTCACCCACAAAATATACAGTCAATTCACTTTACAATCTATTCTGTGAAGCACTTGAGACGTCTCAATACGTAATAAGGCGCTATATCAAAATGCAAGGAAGGATTATTATAATCTTAATTCAGTGTCATAAAAATGCCTTTTGAAGCCTCAAATAAAGCAAGTATACATGGGATCACCAATTAATGACAAAATTCTGCTGTAATAATATGAATAATTGAATAATTTTTTCGATAATTATCTCTTGATTTTCCTTTGCAGCTTTTTTTGTTCCTGGTTGATCACTCCCTTAATCCCTAAAGTCTTAACTGGATATACACCCAGTATGCTTTTGAATTCAAGAAGTTTACTAAGTGTGGCAACATGCATTGACATTTTTAACCTTTGCAATAAATTGGTGATAGTGCGATATCAATCACATACTATTTGCCGAGGGGCATAAGATCATTGTTGTCATGTTAGAGTCAATCGAGTTCATACTTTAGATGACTAACCCAAAATTACTCAGAGCACAAACACTTGAGGCACTTACTTCTTCTGAGGCCAAATATAATCTCATAAGGATTTACTTATTCGATATGAACTACTCTCGCAAATAATATTAAAATAGAAGATAATCCTATGCAGATTTTATGTTTTTAAATTCTTCTGTTTGTTCTTTTGAACCCCTTATAAAGAGACACTGCTGTCCCCAGTAGGAGCTCATTGGGTTACATCTGGTTGATCTGTGAGCTGGAAGCATTGATCAAAACTGACAATCTCAAAACATTAAAAGGAAAACTATGCCAATCGCTTACATCATTATTTTAAGAGGAAGAATGATTTGCTCCTGATAGAGAATGACGCAGGTCTGTTTGTATGAAAATTAGACCAGAAAACATCTGTCATTGTGTGTGTTTTATTATATTGAATTAAAATTCGCTTTTTGTTTCTTTTTCTGCTGCATTAATTATTAACTTGCATCATGATCTAAAGTGTATCTCCAATGTGATCTGTACGTGTTATGCGTGTGCCTGTGCAATCTGTTTGGGACTGTGTGTTCATTTAAGATATACAAAGAGTTGTTTGGATTGAAATGGCCTGGCAGGAGCAACGATCAAGCCAGAATCCATATTGGCTTTCAGGAGGGAACTAGATAGATATTCAAAAGCCGTCATTTGTAGCGGTATGGGACTAGAACTGAATGGATTCTTCATTCAAAAATCAGCACCGACACGATAGGCTGAATGGCCTTGATGGTGTGAAGTTCTTTGCCCAGTCTGTGTTGACAAATTATAGATTTCCAATAGAACAATGTACGCTTC